AAAATCTAGCTTTTTATAATTATTTGTATATATTTTATCTGCTGTGTAATCCAAATTTCTGCAAAATTTGGATTGCAGAACCAATATAGTATTTATTTTCCTATTCATTGAATAGCTACTGTGTGCCAAGCTTTATATAAAGTTCTAATAATAAAACAATAAATAAGGTACAACCCTCCTTTCATTAGCTTGGAGCTCAGAAAGAGAGATAGAACAGGAAACAGGCAATTTTAGGGCTAGGATAGGGCTAGGATAGAGCCAAGATCAAACTGCTACTAGGAGGAGATAAAAAAAGGACCACCTAATTCAAATTTGAGGAATCAGAGAACTACTTCCCAGAGAAAATGTTCTCAAAGTTGAGATCCATGCAATCAATTTTGAAAATAAGCCATTGTTACATTTAATTACATTGAAAAATTGGCTTTCACTATGAATAGCAGGTATACATGCATTAATCTCTGCAATCAGCATCATTATTTCAGCAACCCTTAAGTATTTTATTATTACATCAATTGACACACATGTCTTTCTGGAACAGGCACTAGTGCCAAAAGCAATACAAGTGGAAGTATAATATAATAAAGCAAACACGAGTCATGGCCTCTCACTTCGAGGCACTAACAATCCAACCATGGAACAAGTCTATTACCTATGAAATAAGAGTGAACAACAAACACAAAACAATGTATGAACATGTGCTGGGATAAAGGGACTATAATTGCCACAGATAATCCAAGGTCCTTCAGGGTAAGAGCCACATTTCAATCACGTTACTATTCCTGGCTTGAGAGTATGGACTTAGGAGTAGATAGTAAATAATGTGAATTAGGGACTATGCAAGAGTCCGTAAACTGGATGCTATAGAAAACAGGAAGCTCTGACAAAGAAAATGAAATAATGAAAGTACTGTTTGTAGAAGGTCCATCTGGATTGTTACACAAGATCACTGGGAGCATGGAAGGTGAGATGAAAAGCGTTTGAAGGTCCAGGCGAAGGTACATGTGTGCACAAGGAGAAGCATGTGGACACCACAACTGTTGAGGAAAAATCACTCCAGAAGTTGATGACTTACGAGAAAGGTCATGGAGAAATAAAAGATCCAAATAAAACGTTTTCTAAGCCTAGATAAATGTTTGCTACTAATAGAGATGAGGAAAAAATAATTGGTTTTGGAAGACACTGAAAAAGTGAGATTTCACTTCTGTGATGACACAGAGACATTCTAGAACAAATGAATAGACATGGCCAGGCTCGGTGGCTCAGCCTGTAATCCCGTGCTTTGGGAGGCCGAGGTGAGTGGATTGCCTGAGCCTGCGGGCTTGAGACCTGCCTGGGCAACTTGGTGAGACCTCATCTCTACAATAAATCAAAAAATTAGCTGGGCATGGTAGCGCGCACCTGTCGTTCCAGCTACTTGGAAGGCTGAGGCGGAAGGATCGCCGGAGTCCAGCAGGTGGAAGCTGTGGTGGCTGGGAGCATGCCACTGCACTCCAGTCTGGGCGACAGAGTGAGACTCCAACTCAAAACAAGCAAGTAAACAAACAAACAAACAAAAACTTGAAGACACAGGATAAAATAAAGGAGAGAAAGTATACAGGCCTGAATTATAAGCTTGAAAGTAAAAACAAAAGTCGTTAGCTTTTTTATTATGCATTTACTCAACACACATTTGCTAAATTCTTACCATTCTAGCAATCTTTATAGTCATGGGAATAAAGTAATAAACATAGGAGACAATGTCCTTGTCTTCGAAGAACTTACATTCTAATGGGATGACAAATAAATAAAAAGAAATCATGTAGTACACCACATGGTGGTAAGGTCTAGAGAAAATTAAATTTGGTAAGAGAGAGGGAGTGTGAATGGAAACAGTGGGGTTTCTTGTTTATTCATTTATTTTATTTTTTAGGGAGATTAGGGGATACCTATCTAGAAAGGTGATATTACAGCAGAATATGAAGCAAATGAACAAATGAGAAGTACAAATTTCTGAACATCAAATGAATTATTTTGAAATAGGCAGAGGAAAAAGCTGGTGGAATGACCCCAGGGTCTGGCAAATCACTGGACATTTTTCAGCTTTTATCTGGAATGGACAAAGCCACAGAGAGTTATTGAGTCAACGAGTGATATGATAGAATTAATGTCTGTGACTCCCTAAAATTCATATGTTGAAATCCTAACCCCCAAGATGATGATATTAGAAGGTGGGGCCTTTGAGAAGAAATTAGGTCATGAGAACAGCATCTTTTTTAAAGGGGATCCCAGAGGGCTGTCTCACACTGTTTCTGACATATGAGGCTACAAGGAGAAGTCAGCTGCCTGCAACCTGGAAGAGGGCCCTCTCCAGGACCTGATCATGCTGGAACCCTGAGCTTGGATTTCCAGCCTCCAGAACTGTGAGAAATACACTTCAGTAGTTTATAAGCCACCCTCTCTTTGGTACTCTATTACAGCACCGAAATGACTAAGATAAGGAACATAATCTAATTTACATCTTAACAAGATCAGTCTGGCTGTAGTGTTGAAAATAAACAGTAGAGAAAAAGGGTGAAAGTGGGCGGACCGTTAGAGAGGCTATTTCAATAAATCAGGTGACAGATGATATAGCATAAGGGTGGTGAGAAATGAACTGATTCTGGATGCATTTTGAAGACAGAGCGGAACAGGGTTCTTTGATGTTCATTTATGCTATGAGAGAAACAAGAACTGAAATATGACTTTAAGAGTTTTGACTGAAACACCTAGAAGAATGGAATCAGCTTCTTGTGAAATGGGGGAGACTGGGAGAACAGGTTTGGGTGAAAATCAGGATCTATTTAGGTTAAGTTTGAGATGTATGCTATACATAAGAATAAAAACACTACAATATACAGTACTGGAGTTAAAGTAGTGGTCCATACTAAAGATAGAAATTTATTTATTATTACTATTATTGTTTATTTTCATGAGTTGCAATTCCACTCTTTCATCCAGACTGGAGTACAGTGGCACGATTATAGCTCACCGTAGCCTTGAACTTCCGGGCTCAGGTGATCTTTCTACCTCAGCCTCCTAAGTAACTGGGATTCCAGGAGTGTGCCAACATGCCTGGCTAATTTTTCTTACTCTTTTGTAGAGACGAGATCTTGCTATGTTGCCCAGGCTGGTCTCAGACTCCAGGCCTCAAGCAATCCTCCCACCTCGACTCCCAAAGTGCTGGGATTATAGACATGAGCCACCAAACCTGGTCTTATACTGAAGACTGAAATTTAGAAGGAAATAGTGTATCTTGATATCTAAAGCTTTGGGGAATGACTCTAGAGAGAAAGAAGAAAAGTTAAGAACTGAACTCCAAGATGAAGAGGGAACAGAAAAGGAGACAAAAGAGGATTGGTCATTCAGTTAATTAGAGATCTATGAGAAAGTAGTTTACTAGCAGCCATGTGAGGAAAATGTTTCAAAAAGAGCTATATCAGTTGGATTAAATGTTCAGATAGATCTACTAAGAAGAGAACTGAGAAATCACTGATGGATTTAACAATATGGAGACAAATAGTGACCTGAATAAGAGCTGAGTGATTTAGATATAGACTAAAAATAAAGTTGATTCAAGAGATAAAGGGAGGGGAGGAATTAGAGATATCCAAGATAGGCAATTGTTTTGAGGAATTTTTATCCTAAAGTAAGAATAAAGCACTGGAGTAAGAATGAGAGAACTAGAACATTCAAAGCCAAGGAAAATTAGAGAACTTCACCAAGAAAAGAAATATGCTTGGTATTGAGGACAAGACATATCTAAGGTAATAGGGAGGGAACAGGCAGAGATAGATGTGAATACATACATCATTGTTTAGAATCCTGTAAGCCAATGGGACTGAAGTATATTGACTAATAAAATACAGCAGGAAGGACAAGTGAAATGAGAATGGAGAAAAGGGACATTGTACTTATCAAAAAGGAGGCTGTTAAAGAAGTATCATAATATGTCAAAAAGCTTGGGCCTATATGTTTGTTTGTTTTCTCTGTTGCCCAGATTGGAGTGGTGCAGTGGCATGCTCATGGCCACTGCAGCCTCGACCTGCTGGGCTCAGGCAATCCTTCCACCTCAGCCATTCAGGTAACTGGAACTACAGGCATGAGCCACCACACCCAGCTAATTTTTTTATTTATTGTAGAGATGAGTTCTTGTCAAGTTGCCCAGGCTGGTCTCGAACCCCTGGTCCCAGGCAATTCTCTCACCTTGGCCTCCCAAAGTGCTGGGATTATAGCCTTGAGCCACTGCACCCAGCCAGGGCTTATATGTTTTTTAACACTTTATTCATGCATGCTATTTACAATGTTTCAGGAACCCTTCTAGTCATTAGGAAATAACAATACACAAAAAATGGGGGGGGGGGGAATGCTATTCATATGAAGTTAGAATCTACTGGTAAAGCATTAATGTACCCTTACAGCTACAACAACAACAACAAAAAGCAATGTTTTCAGTAAGTTCCCAGTAATCTCTGGTTTCTGTTATTCACATCCTCGTGTAATCCTCCTTCTTTATGTGAACTGGACTTAGTAGCTTGCTTCTGACCAAAATAATACGGCAAGGTTGATGGCATGTTACTTTCATGACTAGGTGATAAGGAATGTTGACTTCCATTTTGCTAGCACACTCTGCCTTCTCAGCTTGCATGCTTTGAAGAAGCAGTCATGTTGCAGAAGTCCATGGCAAGGAAGAGAGAGAAGTCATTGGCCAACAGTCCTGAAAGAACTGAATTCTGCCAATAGTCACTTACATAAGTTTGAAAGTATACTTTCCCCAGTCAAACCCCTTCAGATGTGACCCCAGTTCTGGCAGGCACTTTGCATAGTTTTGAGAGATTTTGAACTAGAGGAATATGCTAAGTGATACCCTGATTCCTGAACTCACAGAAACATGAAACAGTTACATATGCTGCTTTAAGTTGCTGAGTTTTGGGGTAATTTATTTTGTATCAGTAGCTCAAGATTATAATGAAATCATCACTCACCAATTGTTCCAACGGAGGGATGACATCTTTCAAAACATGCTGTGAATGATTTCTTCTGTGTCGGGATACCTGCAAATATATTAAGGTTTAATACTAGTGTGTTATTTTTCTTAATAGAGCATAATTTAGTAAGAATTCACATGAAAATACCAATAAACAAATTCATTAAAATTAATTCAATATAAAATTAGAAGTAAATGTTTTGTACACTAACTATTTGAATAAAATCTATACTCAGAGTTAGCTGGCTGCAGTAATATCTCAAATTCACTTTGTCTTATATGTAACCTCAACACTGCTCCCATCAAATGGTGGGGTCTATGTTCTTTCATTTGAATCTGGGAAGGCCTTTATACCTGCTTTAACCAAAAAGTACTACAGAAGTTCCATTCTATGACTTTAAAAGTTAGAGTACAAAAATGTCATGCACTTCCCCCTTGTTCTCTCAGAACACTCACTCTTGGATAATTTGTTTGAGGAAGCCCGAATTACCCACAGAGTGGCCACATGGAAAACCTCACAGGTTTCTGACTGATGGATGGGTTGAGGCTTCCAGCAGATATCTGGCCGGCATCAACCACCAATCAAATGAGTATGAAGAAATCCCAACGATTCCCTCTCCCAACTGTTGGGTCTCTCCAAGCCTTCAACCTTCTCATCAAAGGCCCTAAACATTGTAGAGTAGAAACAAGCCATTCCTGTTGCCTTTTCTTTGAATTCTTGGTCAGATCGTAAGCATTATAAAATTATTGTTTTATACCTCTATGTTTCAGGGTGATTTGTAATCTAGTAATAGTTACTAGGGTGACATATTTCATCTTGAAATGCTTTGTGTTTATAATGCTAGCTAAACTGTTTCAGAACCAACATTCTATTAATTTTCATGTCCTCTACTATAATCCAGATGTGTTTAAACACACAAAAAATCACACATGCTTTTCGTGCTTTTGGAACAAAGAAAAAGAAGCCTTATCTTTTCTTTCCCCAAGGAAGCATCAGAGACAGATTTCATAATAAAAAAAAGATAAAAAGAAGAAATTTACAATTTAAAATTACATCTTATGCTGCTTTTTAACTTAATCAGAAGTTCTCATTAATACGACTTCATATTTTACATAGAGAAGGAGAGAGGGAGAAAGGGAAGAAGGAGGAGGAGGGTGATGGGGAGGCAGAGGGAGAGTGAGAGAGAGAGAGAGAGAAGTGTGAGAAATTAAAGAAATAAAGCAGGTCCAAGTATTTTGTATAGAAATGACTTTATCTTTGTTTGGTTACAAATACACGTAACTGGTTGAAAGAATTAGATCAGTGTCTACGAAGATTTGGAGGGAATTGTTTTAACAAAGAAATCAGAAGTCTGGCTTGAAATATCCATGACTCTATACAATCCTGGAGCTTTATCTTTGTTCCACAAAATCTAGGTTACAAAGAAACTATGAATAGAAGGAGAAAAATTTTCCCAATGTCCACTTCAGATGTGGTCCATGGAAGCTAAATAAGAAGGAAGAGCCTCCAGAAAGTAGAGCCAGAAACCCTAGAGAATAATGGGCACAGGGAATTCCCCCAGAAAGGACAGCCAAGGACTGTCTCTACTTCCAGGGCAGTTGCCTCATAGGACCTGCCTGGCAGGATTTAATCATCATTTTGGTCCAGTGACTGTTGGCTGTTTACCATTCTTTCCTTTTACAAATGAGAGGAGTTTTTGTTTGTTTGTTTCTTCCAGTTACCAAGTTCTTGCTCCATCATTTTCTTTTGGATATGGTGGGGAAAGTGAGATAAGAGCTTATATTTCAAGTTCTAAATCATTCCTCCATGCCCACCTCCTCCCCACCCCCACCCCCACCCCCAAGACCTAAATCTTGTGGAGATAGTCATTTATCACCAGAGATTCTGGCATTTGATCTTGATACAGTAACTGTACATGAGACTTTTTGATGTCTCCTTTGGGAAGGGGACTTTTTATGATTATTTACAAACTCTTAAGGTTTTGTATTAAATATGTTCATATCTAACACATTTACTTGTGATATGAGTATATTTTTGTTTAAAATAAAGTTATTTTAGTATAAATAATATAACTAAATAATAATCTGTGGTAAAAAAAATACAGAAAAACCCCACAAATATAGTAAATGAATTATCAACGTTTAGGAAATGTATTTTAATGCAAATAAATCAGAATAGAAATTGCTACCGACTAAGCACATACTTCATCCTTGAAGGAATCCATTGGGTCCATGGTGCAAATATAAATGTATGTATGTAGGTGTATATATATATATGTGTATATACATATATATATATATATACACATATATGTGTGTGTGTGTGTGTGTATGTATGTGTGTGTGTATGAATATATGCCTAAGTATACATATAGGCAATCCAGTCACAAAATTATTGGGTAACTACAAAGTTGAGACCCCCTGTGTGCATAAAACAATGTTTCCCAAGTAAAAATTTAGAGAGTCAAACTTATGAAATTGTACACATTTTTACAGGAAGCTAGAAATCAGGTTTCAAATCTGTTATGAGTCATCTTAATATTTCTTTAGGAGAAATAATATTACTGATCATTCTTAAATCAATAAGCTAGCCAATCTATCATATTCAACCAAGTTATGAAGATGTCGAAAACAGAGAGCTTTCATCACCTGTCTTTCGCTTTAATGTTCTTCTCAGTAAAGCATTAGGGCAAGAAATATGATATCATTCCAAATCAGATTATGTTGACTAAGACTTATGATTTAGAAAATTCTGGATCCAAAATGGTTGAATTGCCTTGCATTGACATCAGGGAAAAGTTAGAATATTTGAAGTTGTCTTTACTTGATCTATTCAATAGAAATAATAATTATAAAGAAAAAATTAGGGTAACCAAAATCTCTTACAGTAAGTTTGAAGAGAAAAAATGTTCTCCTAAACCATACTATAACAGGAAATGTTATAGTATTTATATAAGTATTTATCAATGAGTTATTAATGTTACCTGATAATTTTAGAAATCACTATGGAATATGTTCTTGAGAAATATTCCAGCTATTTATTTATAGAAAGAAAGCATTCATATTTAGTATACTCATATATCAGTAATTTTTAATAGTAGGTGCTCAAAATACACTTGTTTCTTTATAAAATATCTCTACTACTTGTATTACAAAGAAAGTACTTCATTTCAATAGTACTATTCTTTCTCAAGAATCTCAGAATTTGGAGGAGTCTCAAGATGGCCATCTAGAAGAAGCAAACTGGTGCCTTGATCACAGAATAAACCAAAGAAGAGAGCACCAGAAGTCAGTGACCCCCAGCAGTTTGAGCAGGTTAAGATGAAGGATGAATCCCACATCCTGCAGAAGACCACCAGGATTCAGAGAGGGCAGGGATGAGAGAGAATGGGCAGCTGGCTTTGGAGTCACAAGCCCCCTCCTCACCCAGCTCACACTGGAAATAGAGTGCAGCCTCAGGATGTGGGAAAAGGTGAGGGAAGTTAGGACACAGTGCTTGCTACTGCCATGGACAGGGAAGACCTCTCCCTGCCTCAAAGGATTCCAGTTCCACAAGGGAAACAACATGGATATAGCACAGCTGCTGCTGCCAGAGCCTACATGGAGCTGTGAACCTATCCAATCTCTCAATGTCCATGGACAAGCCATCTCTATCTCTAAGAACTCTTTCCCTGGAGGCAGTTCCTAGGCTGGGAACAGCTTCTAGGTCAGTAAAGAACCCTATCTGTCTTCACTCACTCTAAGGGCAGGTTCCACCTCTGCAGGCAGCTCCGGTTTGGGGCAAGCTGCAGTAGAGATTCTGCTGTTGAAAGAGCTTTTCAATTGTGAATGTGGGGCAGCCTCTCACAAGAGAAGGGAGGGAGTTGGTAGAATTTCCTGGTAACCTTTCTTTCCCTAAGTGAACACTTTTGGACAGCAGATAGCTCTGCCATTCCTACAGCACTTCCAGAGTGGCCAGGTGCCAATCCTCCCACCTTATCCCCATTGCATACTCATAGCTAGGTATCAGAACACAGACCAGCTGGTCCTAACCCATGAGAAAAACATTGTTGCAGAAAGAAACTTCCAGTTCTGAGCACCAACAGCCTCAGTCAAGGGAAGAGGAACTGAAGGTGGAAGAGGAGGGGGAACTGGCTATCCTGGCGACTCCTCTGTCTCTGTGTGAACTCTTTCATAAATCAGAAAGAGCTCAACCAACCACACGGCATGGCCATAGCAGTAAGGAGGCCATTTCCCACTAGGGTAGCCAATTGTGCCAGCAGTTGGGGGGAAGGGCCGAAGAGCAGCCCAGTCTGACAAATCTTTGCCAACCAGCTTTCCCCCCAATCCCCTTAAAATCCCAGGGACTGAGGATTTTTGGGAGTTCCCGAATCCTATCCCTCATCTAAGTCATCTGTGCACTTCCCTAGGGAAAGAATGGTCAAGCAAAAAAGCCCAAAACAACCATCACAGCTGGCTGTTGCCTCAAAGTGACACCTTCTGGCTGAAGGTCAACTGGGAGAGCCCATTACAATATCTGAGACAATACTACAACCCCTGAGAAGGGAATAAAAACAAAGTTCATGCCACCATGCATCTCGTAAACCAGCCCATAAACTGAGGCATCATAGAGCTTCTTCAGAGGGTCTCCTAGAGACCTTGCAGGCACCCTCCAACACCAGCCAAATTGTGGCAGCCTCCTAGGGCAGCTAAACCAAGAAGAGCAGTAGAACCCACAGTGGTCAAACCCTCACAGACTACCACCCCTAAGGGAAAAAGGAGTGCAATACAACAAGAGAGCTTCCCAAGGGATTTTAAAAAAAAGATTAAAAATAAAAAATAAATTCCACAAAAGTCCGCCCTAACAGTGGCAACTTTATATAACTAAAGTAATAGTAAAACAAAAATAAAAAGTAAAAAAAGAAGAGTCTGTCCTCACAGATGAGGAAGAACAAGTGAAAAAACCACTGATAATCCCCAAAGCTTTAATGAGGCATTACCCACAAAAGGTCTTCCCAGATCCCAAGCAATAAAACTCATCCAGAATGACCTGTCTCTGATGATACACATAGAATTTAGACTACGGGT